GAAGCACTACGACACGTTCAAACCCCAGGGATACAAGAGCGCACCCCGTATCCGCGCACACAAGTGAGAACGCCACGCAAAGTCCCATTCCACGGATAGTAACGGAGGATACGGACATAATGAGCGCACATAGCACCCACACAGTAACACACAATGACAACGAAAGAGTGCTACTCCTAACAGGGGTAGGAAAAGTGTGGAATGCTATCAAGAGGGAGTGGCAACCAGTCGAGATCCTATTCGATACTGGAGCAGATCAATCCTTTATAAGCCAAACCCTTACGCAGGAATTAGGCCTCACACCCAGCGAAACAAAGGACTTCAACATTTACACCTTTGGTTCAAAGGTGCCTACAGAGACAAGATGTGGAGTAGTTCGAGCGGATCTTGAGGACAACCAAGGAGAAAAACACAAACTGTACTTACACACAATACCGATACTGACTGAAACAGGAACGGAGACGCACCTTGCCGCAGAGGATATGAGTTTTATTACAGGCAATAAACTAGAGCTTTCAAGGCAAGGTACTCGCAGGAAGTCCACCCCACAAATTCTTCTAGGCTGTGACCAGCTATGGGGCTTACTGAGTGATCCTTCCCCTCAATATACGCTACCGTCTGGGCTACAGCTCATTCCCTCAAAACTGGGATATCTACTCACTGGAAAGCAACAATCGCCCTGCCAAATTCTCCGAGCAGAAAATGAGCATTACGCCCGGTATGGTATCAATGGTCCAATCCGTTACTGGCGAAGAAGACGATCTTATCAAATGGGATAGATACTGGGCCATGGACACGGCAGGAATATGCGAATACACTGGCACAATTGATGCTGAAAGGTCAGCAGTCAATGAACAAGTGCTGTCATTTTTCAACAAGACCATTGAAAGGAGAAGCGATGGCTACTACGTGCGCCTCCCATACAAACAAAACCACCCTCCACTTCCCTCAAACAAAACGATAGCGCTGAAACGGCTTGGCAGTGTTCTAAACACGCTGAGATCCAACAAAAAACTCCTTGATGATTACGCCAACATTTTCAAAACTCAGCTGCATGAGGGCATCATTGAGGAAGTGCCAGAATCCCAAATGAAAGACGGCGAGGTAGTACATTACATCCCTCATCAGCCAGTCATTACGCCTCAGAAGCAAACCACCAAACTACGCATAGTTTTTGACGCTTCCTCGCATTTTAAAAATTGCCCATCTCTGAATGACGTTCTACATCAGGGCCCCCTTATATTACCTGAACTCTACGCAATGTTGTTACGCTTTCGAGTATCCAAATTTGTAGTCACATCGGACGTGGAGAAGGCGTTTCTTCAAGTTCGCCTACACGAACTCGACCGCGACGCAACGCGATTTTTCTGGGTACGCGACTTTGAAAAAGACCCCACAGAAGAGAACATAGTCACGTATCGGTTCACCAGGGTCACGTTTGGCCTTAACGTATCGCCTTTTCTCCTTGGAGCTACAGTCCATTTCCATCTTCGCAATGCAGTGAATGACAGGCGACTGGAAGAGGAGATAAGGCAAAACCTCTACGTCGACAATCTTATTCTAGCAGCGGAGTCCCCAGAAGAAGCGATACAGAAATCCAAATGTACCCGCGAGATTTTCGCAGAAATGGGCATGAACTTGCGCGAGTTTCTATCCAACGAGGGGGTCGTGAATGAAGGACTACCGCAAGAGTGTCGAGCAAGCTCGAGTGTCAGAAAGTCCTAGGAATACCTTGGGACAGCAAAAACGACGAGCTCTCAATACGATGCAACCTTCCACCCACGCCACATCTAACGAAACGCATTGTGGCAAGGCAGATTGCCTCGGTGTATGACCCCTTTGGGTGGCTTGTACCACTACTTACGCAAGCTAAAAGATTCCAGCAAGACTTGTGGAGGCATAGATATGATTGGGACACACCACTACCTGAAAACTTGCAAAAGCGCTGGAGTACCCTCTGTGAAAATGTACATGGATTTGAGCACATCTTTTGCAGACGCCTTCTGACCAATCCAGAACGCAGCAATCTAGCAGTTTTCTCTGACGCGAGCTCTATCGCTATGTCGGCATGCGCATACATCTTCAATGGGGACCAGTCCACATTGGTCATGGCAAAATGCAAATTACCCTCAATAAAAGGTAACCCTACCGTCCCAAAAATGGAAATGAATGCCCTGACAATAGCACTACGCCTCGCGCTCTCAGTATTTCAGGCGCTCAAAGAACGCATCCCCCAACATATAAACAACATCTACATCTTCTCTGACTCGCAAGTTGCGTTGAGTTGGCTAGCCGCGAGCTCAAGCACTTCGAATTTGGGAATGCTCGTTAATAATCGATTGAAAGAAATCCGACGCATCGTAGAAGCCTTCGATAACGAAGGAGTTGGAGTGTACTTCAAATTTGTACCAACGGACCAAAACCCAGCAGACGCCGGTACTAGGGGTCTCACGAAAACGCAATTGGCCCACGCTCCTTGGTGGGAGGGACCCAACTTCCTACGCGACCCTGTAGACACGTGGTCACCCCCTCCATACACACTCACCATGGACGATACGCAAGGTCACGACCAGATCTCAACGCTCATAAACGCTATAGGAACAAAAAGTAACCAAGAAATGATAGAGCCAGTAATCGACCTATCCCGCTTTGGTTCATTGACAAAAGCGAAACAGGTGACGGCCCTTGCCATGGTTTTTATTAAGAAACTAGCGGAGCGCTTACCACAGGTGCGAAGAAATTCAATCATTCAAAACATCCCAGAATTGGGATATATCCCCAACTCCATGCAAGCGATCGGAGGAAACGCCTTGGCCGCGTCTAGGAGGTTCATTATACGCAACCACCAGCTACAACACCTTACCGACCATTACAGAAAATCTATCGAAAATAAACTACCCCTGTTCAAGGACGAAAACAACCTTTGGCGATCAAAAGGACGTGTTGGGAACGCGATACTGGACGCAGACGCTAAAAGTCCCATTTTTGTGTTTCCCAAAACGCCGCTGGCTGCTCTCATTATACAGGAGGCCCATGGAACATACCACCAGGGGATCGAACACACAATTGCGACAGTACGCTCACACTATTGGATCCCAAAACTAAGACAACAAGTCCGCTACCTGGTGAAGAACTGTGTGAAATGTCGCAGATTCAACGGCTTACCCTACGCTTACCCAGTGACAAAGGACCTACCAAGTCGCCGCGTAGTACGCAGCCACGCATTCCAACATGTTGGTCTTGATTTTTTCGACCTCCCAGTTGTAAAGGAGAACGATAGAGAATACAAAACTTATGGGTGTATATTCACGTGCGCAGTAACACGACTGATACACCTAGAGCTAGTCCGAAGCATGTCGATAGGAGATTTCTTGAATGCATTGCGAAGATTCATAGCTCGCAGAGGGGTACCATCCACTATCACAAGTGACAATGCCCCCACCTTTCTCCTTGCCGCAGAAATTCTGTCCCCATCGGGTAATACACCGCAGATCAACTCGGACGTCGACCAAATAAATGCTCAGCACGAAATTGAATGGAAGAATATTACGCCTTACGCACCTTGGCAAGGGGGTTTTTACGAACGTCTGATAAAGTCTATAAAACACGCCCTCTACAAGTCCCTTAGAGGAAAACCTCTTCTCACAGTAGACCACCTCACCACAGTACTGACGGAAATCGAGGCCTGCTTGAACTCTAGACCACTAACCTATCAAGGTTCGGAGCAGGACAATCTAGACACTATCCGCCCAATCGATTTCCTCCAGAAAGACATCATGCTCACACTTCCATACCGGATTCCAGATCAAAGGACCGATCCAGATTACCTGCCGCCGACGGAAGTCCGCGGTCTAGCAACTAAAATCGAAGCAGAGAAAGCACTGCTTTCGTCCTGCAGGATCACAGACCAGTTTTGGAATGTCTGGCAGAGGAACTACGTGACCAGCCTACGGGAGACACATAAACAAAATATTTCCTCCAAACGCCACCACAACTGTACCCCAAAAGTTGGAGAAGTGGTTCTCGTAAGCGACCCTATTGTCCCAAGGAATGACTGGAAACTCGCTCGAATAACACGAGCCTTCGCAGGAACCGACGGACAAATCCGGGAGGTAGAGTTAATTACGGGAACGAGACGATCCATGAGACGACCTGTCAACCTCATTGTGCCGCTGGAACTTAAGAAAGACAATGAAGCAAATGAGAAAAAAGACGGCGCTAACCCAGACTCAACAGTTCAAGACCTACCCACGACACAAGAGCCCTACAACCTGCGGCCACGGTCGCAATTACGCAGCACACAATATGTTGCGACGACCAATCCCGCACGAAGAACGCACACTGGGTTTAGAAAATGGTTCCTTTTTTACGTCATGCTTTTTTCACTGCTTCAAGGGTCCTATGGAAGTCCACACATAAAAGGTATGGGGACTTACGCCGAACCAGGGACACAAAAAGGCACGCAAACCACAAACACATCCCAACTTTACGCTCATTTACACCTTTCCATAAGGAGTCCGTACTTAGCCACAGTACCATCGCACAAAACCAGGCTCGCCCATGAGGACCTTTCAAAAAGAAAAAGTAACTGCTGCTCAATAAAAACAAGGGCCATGCAACTCAGTGACAACCCTTTCGAGAACACCGAGCACAGCCCTCGCTTAATAATGCCGTGCAAACCCGAACGCTGGTCGCCTTATAAAACTCTCGCTGTGTTACCAAGTAGGCATGGCCCGGCCACCTTCATCTATTCTTGGCAGTACACAAAGTTTCTGAATAGTGAAAACCTGGTTCAATGTTATACGCTTCATTTCGCCTTTCAAAAAAGATGTCCAAAAGGAGCAGTTAGCTCTTTCCAACTCTTTTGATATTCACACTCAAAACCAATGACCAAAAAACGCACTGAATTAGCAGAATATGAGAAAAAGATTAATTATTCAACTAAAAATATACCCATAATAACACGCTTTTCATTCACGCTTATATTACTCCTTCAGACCATGGATGTGTACGAAGAAATGAGACGCTTACGCCGAATCAAGGAGGCTATTCCACCGCTTCCCGAGCCTTACACGCTGTACAACAAGATCGTACACAGAAGCATGGAACTCCGTATAGCTACTCGCTTTATGAGTGATCTTTTTAATCGTATTCAGGAACTGAGAATTTCCAAAGAAAGTCCCAAAGAACGCTGGGTACAGTTGAAGCTGCTTGAAACCCTGAGGGAAAAAACCTATGCAGAGTTCGCGCTACTACGCTCAGAAATCCGCATGCTTTTCACCGCTGTGCCGTTGGTAATCGCTTTAGAATTGATATCCGAGGACGATTGGGATGCCCTCATTACCAAACCGCAACGCGACGACAGAGGAAAAGCGCTTGTTCTGGATCAGCATCAGCTAGAGCGTGTCATGACGGATCAATTCGATATACTTGAGGAGTACCGCTTGATGCTGGCAGAGCTGAGACACGAGATCAAGGACGAGGAAAGTCACCAGGCGGAAGACTTTCAAAAATCAGTGCTATCAGCCTTGAAGGATGTCAGTGAATCAGTGAAAGCCGGATTTCGAAACTTCACACCGAGCAATGACCGGAACGATCTTGAGGAGCTGAGAAACATTGTCCAAAACGAGACGTCAAAACTTCAGGAAGACATCACTTTGTTCGTCGAACACGTGCGCAACACAGTTGTCGAAGCCTTATCAAAGCTGTCGGCACCTACAACCGCAGAAGAACGCACTGTAGACAATCCTGAAGACGCTAGCGATGGTGAGGGGGAGGGCACTGAGGTGCTCCAACCAGAGACGGACTCCCCGGACAAGATGGAAGCGCAGATTATCCAGCAGAATGTAGAATTCATGGAAAATGTAGGAATGGACGATGAGGAAGAGTACGAGGCACTGAGGTGGCAACGCAGACGTCAGATAGATAGGAAACTCTACGACGCCTATGTAGAAATTCAGGAGCTCGACGAACTCATCAGCGAACTTGAGAAGGAGCCTAAATGCGAGCCTAGAGATTTTAAACGAGGACTCATAAGACGCTGGGACGAGAAAACGATTCGCTGCGTCTTCTGCGACAGAGTTGGAATACACTATAGCGACTCTTGCGATGTCTACAAGGAAAGCTCAGTGCGCAGACTGCTACTCGATAGAGAACACAGGTGTTCCTGCTGTCTCGAAATAAAGCTCACACACCATGACTGTCGGAAAATTAACGTGGGGTGTTACCACTGCAAAAGGCACGGGCACCATAGCGCCATTTGCGACCTACCAGAAAGGACGGAAGAAATCAACAAAAGAAAAGCTGAAGCCCTGTGTGCAAAAGGAGATGCCGAAAAGAGGATCAAGGAGCTGAAGGAGCAATTGGAGGAACTCTATAGACCTGTTCATCCAGCGTGAAATGATGATTTGTTTGTTGCTAATACGTGTTGTGTCATCTAACATGTGTTCCGAAGCGAATCCTCTAGGCGGTT